CCTCAGATTCATTCCTAAAAAGCAAAGAGGGAAGGAAGGCAGGGCACTGCAGCACCACAAATTACACTGAACTTTCTGTAATATTAGTGCATTGGTGCCTGTCATTCGTAATTCCTGTATCCATTATTTGGGAGTTATGTGAAAGGACAGAAAAATCCCATTTAATTCATCACATTTTCATAACTGGTTGGAAAATAGGGTTCATCCACAGAGATCAAAGAAAGTATCTATCTGAGACTTAGGGTAAGAGACAAGATGAGAGGATCCTCCAGGATGTGTGAGATCCACAAGGAAAAGAATTACTAAGGAAAGAAAAGAGACCTTTTAAAATAGACCATCCATTTGTTGCATGGGGGAGGACCTCAAATGAGCAAAGTTCTCTTTGTTCTCTTTTGTCTGTGGCTATGAAAGCTGCCACTGTCAGCCTCTTCCTGACGCTGCCTGTGATCACCATCCATTAACCCAGGGCAAAGGCATCTGGGACTGGACCCCTGGAATGGGACCTGCTTCTATTCCCTGTTATGCTGGGTTTCCAGCTGCAGCTCTTCTGGGCAATACTTCTAGGTACCTCTGAGCCACCTGTGTGGTTACACCACTATTCCCTGGAAACCTCTGTTCACTCTCCCTTTCTGGTGCAACATTAAAAACCAACATCCTTTTCTAGTTTTATCTTCTAATCTATTGCCTTGAGGAGCTGGACTATTGATTTCAGGTCTCTTCACTGCTGAAAGCGATGAACTTTCCATTCTAGAGAGACTTTGGCCAACCCTCTGAGGGAATAAATGAGCTTATGAAAAGCACCAAAGCAGACCTGTTGCTCAGGAGGAATACAAATGCCTGCCTGAAGCCAGACTTTCCAGACTGGGGCATACTCACATCAGGTTCACCTTCTGAGCAGCTGAGAATCAATCACAAGTGTCTATTGAAATCTTTTTCTCAACCATTTTTTTTATCCCAGAAAAGAAATCACATCTGATTATAAGTCCTCTTTTCTACCCAGCAATCATCATCTCCCAAGTCCAAAGCAAAGACATAGCTGGCCTTCTCAGCCCCAAGAATGTAAGAATTAGGTATTTGGTTACTGACATGGTCAAATCAACATGCTGCTTCCATCATTTGCTCTTCGGAAAATTTTACTGACATTGTAAGGAAAAATCCAGACTGAGACAAATTACAAACTGCAGTCTCATAAAGTTTTAACCATGTCTTATTTCCAATGGGAAGCACTGAACAGCTGTAACTGTGGCTGGCATCTGAAGAAGTGAGAGTATCTCTGCACCACATGCTACAGGTTCAAGCATGTATATCTGAACTGGAGCAGGGTACCCTCTAAGCTCAAGGTTGTCCTTGGGCTAACTTGTCATTCAGACTGAGATCTTATTAATGTAGTGCTGATCACACTAATGAAGCCATGTTGAACAGGTAGCACGGGTACCACTGAGACCCTGATTATTTAGTAGGTTGTCTGCATTGTTGTTTGGCTAATGGCCTTCCATTTTATTGCACTTAGTGTAGCTACTCACACACTGCAACTTCATAGAGGCAGTATAAGCTATCTTCTATTGGTAGGCTGTGCCTGGAGATGGTAACAGCTGGTCCTCAAATTTTCCATTAATTCCTTTTTTATTCAGTCACGAAGAATGTTGTGTCCCCAAACTGTCCACAATTGATGAAACAGAGTAAACTGGTTGCCTAGTAGAATAGACTACATCTGTTGTAAGCAGCGGTCTTACAACAGGAAACTGCCACACCAGACATGTTCTGCACCAGGAATTTATCTTGGGAACTGATCCTTAAAAAATTGAACCAAGAAGTCACAGTGGCTTCCAAGGATTCTAATTATGTACATAAATATTTAAAGGTTCAGATCTGCTCATACCTGCTATCCAGCTGGAAACAAGCTCTGGGCTTTTTGGTGAAGCTTGTAGATGTTCAGAAATACACTTGGACGGGCCAAATAACGGGTCAAAGTAGATACCGCATTAAGTTATTTCATAAGATAGACATTTACCAACAAAAACTAGAAATCAAGGCATTACTCTTATGCTGGGAGAAAAATTATAGCAACAAATCCTGGGGGAAGGGAAGACTGGACCAGAGGGGACAGCAAGGCATGGTCAGTAATGTCATTGCCAAAGGTGCTGTCCCACAGTACTTGAGCAAGATGAGCAAAGCAGGTTGAGTGACAGTAACCATGGTCACCCAAGGGTCCATGAAGCAAGTCAATGGCAATAACACAGGTCCAAGCAGGAAAAGCAAGTCAGCAAATCATGGTCATGATCAGGTCCAGTGAGGTAGTAACCAAGGCAGGCAAGAGCCACTGACAAGTTCATAGTAACAATGCTGACCCAAGGTTATGCCAAGAGGTCAGGTGCAGATTGAGGTTACATGGGCATGGCTGCAACAGAGCTCAGGTGCAAACAGGGCATGAGTATGAGCTGAAATGCAGCTCCAGAGTGAAGGAGCTGCTTCTCACAGCTTTCTTGCACAACTCACCTGACCAAGGTTACCCAGAGGCACCATGTCAGAATCAACCTTGAGCAAAGGCAGACAACCCAGGAGTGGGGAATGTGCTCCAGGCCTGACAACAACAACAACAAGATTTAACAAAAATAAAAGTGTAACTGTCATGATTTATACCCTAGTTGTCATTTAGTCTAAATACAGCTGGAAAAAGAACTACTTGAACATCCTTCAGATGGGACTCAAAGTGCCAGGGCTGAGAAAGGAGGAAGTGTCAAGTAAAGTGGAGACAGTTTTTGTAATTCAAATGCACATTCCTTTAGTTGCAGCATCTGGTAGGACCCTTTTGGCTTTCTCTAAGTGAAGTCAGCCGATGAAGGTAGCAATTAGGTTCTCTAGGATGATCTGAATGCATTTTTGCTGTTATGATCTGGTGTCTTAACATACCTATTGGTCTAAAAACCTGTTAAAGTTCATCTGACCAGTGGTTTAAATTTACCTCTACTTCTGATATTAAGCAAGACTATGTCTCAATGTCAGTTTTTGGGGAGATAGGCTTAACCTGAACAAAATGCTACTGGCCTAATACGAAGTTAATTATCCTCCATCATCCCAGGCTACTAAAACAGACACAAAAGCATGGCAGCAGTTTTATCAGTTAAGTCTTAGAAACTGTTTCGTAAGAGGTTTTGAATGAGGAAACTGCTATAGATCCCATGTGCTGCCATCCATTTTATGCAAGGCTGGAAAAACAGCAACACCAATCTGATGAAAAATGGTTATGAAGTTTTGACTGTAAGAGGTAACATGCCTTTTGCCTAAAAATGTTGACACTAAAGTACTACTAATCCTCAACAACAGCATTTTACTTCTTGGGTCAGTAGAAGAACGTGGTACTACAGCTGCTATTTTGATATAAACATCTGTCCATGCCTTATGGATATTATGACTTTAAAAAAAAAAACTAACCTAGCATATGCCAGCTGCTGGAAGGTATAGATTATTAATGAATGAAAAAGCATTAAAAGCTGATTTAAATGTGCAACATATGAAGAATGAGAAGTGTCAGGTGAAGTAATTAGCTAAAAGAAATGCCATGGATTTCTGAAATGTTATTTACATATAGCGAATTTGGAATACAAAGCCCCAAGACTTTCAAGTCATGGATGGTTACATAAGCCATGTGCAGGTGTGGTGGGTAAACTGAGCATTCTTAGTTACAGAACTCTCAGATAGAATGCCAGAAGAGACAACTACTTTTCCAGGCTTCCCTGCACAGAGCAGTCTAAGGACTTCCACATAGGATAGAATAAAATAATTTTTTAGAAAGCTGCCTGATCTCATTTTGAAGTCCTTAGATGGTGCAAAGAGGTTTACTCACATGTGGAAATCCCGGTCTACTGGATTGCAGCTTCCAGCAGGAAACTTCACCTGCAAGCTATTATGCTTTTGTCTAAAACTGAGAAGATTGTTACTTCTCATTCCCACATGTAAGCATTTCTACAACATCATCAATCACCTTCAAAGCTGAAGAGATCCTACTTCTTAAATTTCATAGTGGAAGGTTTATTTTACAGCTTCATATTTTTCTCCAGTTTTAGTCATGGGCAATGACGCAACTTTCAACTGATACACATGGATGCATTTCTTCATGTATAGCTGTTTCTCTATTACACACATTTTTGGCTCAAGGTGACATGTAGGAATTAAAGCACTGAAAACATGCTGAGAGTCAGAATAGCCAAAAAGTTGTGGATAGGTATATACTTGTAACCAACTTTTAAAATTATTTAAGTATGAAGTAAAGCAGTAAAACCAAGAGGATCACATAGCCCTCCAGGTATTCTGGAGCATCTGTCCAGCAGTTTGAATGCCCTAGTGAAAAAACAGCATGTGCACAACATTGTGTATCACACCATCCTGCTCAATAAGAGGCACCAGACCTTAAATCTTCCTTCTGTGTGCTTCGGTTCACCATTTAAAACACATATTTTGAATGAAAAGAGTAAAAAATAATCAACTGAGGTCAGAGGTAATGTTTTCACTATCAGTAATCAACACTAGGATTTGAAACCTTCAACCTCTATCATCACAACTGACAGATTGGCTTTGAGGTTAAAAAAGGATATACTCTACCTATAAACCTTTGCCCCTATAAACCCTTGTCCCTATAAACCCTTGCCCCTATAAACTCTTGTCCCTATAAACCCTTGCCCCTATAAACCCTTGTTTTAAAGAAGATCTCTTCCCCACACTATGGTTTTCCTTCACCTCATTCTGTACAGCTGATGGGCTGGGAACAAGGGACTCTGAGCACTTGTGTGAAATGGAGCGTTCCTGTGCAGTTGCTAAAATTATCATGAGGACTGAAAGAGGGAGAATGGAAATAGAAATTAACAGCTTATAGCTCCCCAAATGCTGATCAGAATTCTGTGTGACGCAGAAGAGACACTGGTGAAGCCCAGTGCATCTCCACTGCTGGACATCAAAACCCTGTTTTAAAGTTATGGGGGCATCTTAAAGAAAAGGCAGCAGCATCCCTTAGAACTGAAATTTATTGATGATACCAGTCTTCCCATCTTCACTACTCTACCTTCCCTAATAAATGGTTTAAAACATTTAGTATTTGAACATATAAAGCGTTACATTTACACTGAAGTCTCTAGGATTATCCCCTTCTGTCCAGTCAGTACTTCAGCAAAGACTCCTTGGTAACAAGTGTTCAGACACCAGAGAACTCTACCCACAGAATACAAACAAAAGCACCTTCACAGTACATAAACCCTCTTCCTAACTCCCAAAGGAGACTTTATATTGTGTTCTGATGGCAGAGATCTATTTCTTGCAGGCAATCTGACAAATCTATTTCAAATCATAGGACTCTTATAGAATGACCTACTGTTCAGTCTCTTTTATAGCAGGTAATTTCTAACTCACTGCTTCCAATAGTGGTTTATCTAAGATCTCAAAAAAGGTGATTTCACAGAGAAACATCCTCTGTCTGGTTTGCATTCTTTCCAGCTATTCAGAGTTAACACTTTGCTGAACTTGCAGTTCACATGTGTCGTGGTTTAAACCCAGTCAGGTAGCTTGTTCACTCACTCCCAGTGAGTGGTGCCGAGCTGACAACAATCGAGGTCCGTGTCCGTCTCCCCCCCCTGCCTCCCCGCACCGGGGCTCTCCCCTTCCCCGCTCCCGGAGGAACGGGGAGGAGGATCGAGAGAGTGCAACTCCTACGGGTTGAGACAAAAACAGTCCAGCAACAAATCACCACCGCTACTATCAGCTACAACAATGATAAGGGAAAATAACAAGGGAAGAGAATACGATACCACCGGCCAAGAGAAACGAGCTCCACCCGGAAACCCCTGTCCTTCCGGGTCACTCCCAGTTACCCCTCACCCCGGGCATGACGTGCTGTGGTATGGAATACCTCCCCGGCTAGCCCGGGTCAGGCGCCCCATCTCTGCTTCCTCACAGCCTCCCCTCCTCCCTGGCAGAGCATGAGCCTCACAGAGTCCTTGGTCAGGGTAAACATCACTTAGCAACAACCGAGAACATCGGCTTCACCAACACTGTTCTCAAACTGGAAGTCAAAACACAGCACTGTACCAGTTAACACAAAGGAAAAACATGACTGCTACTGCGGAACCCAGGACATTATCCACCCCTTATTCCATACCATTCACGTCGTGCTCAGATCCCACATTTTTCAATACACCATCGCTCTCCCACATATATACATCTATATACATACAGACCAAGAGGAAAAATCATTTTCTTAGTGCATGGACCAATCCCTATAATGCTGCCGAGTCCATTCGGTCCATGATGTTCAAAGTTCATTCTCTGTTGGGATGATGGCTGGAGGGAAGTCAGGGCCAGTCGCTGGTGACCTGGAGACATCTAGTTGATGGGCTATAAAAGCATTACACAGCAGGCAACAGCATACAATTGAGTTCACTGGCTGTTTTCCCCTAAAATCAAATCCCCTTGAGGTATACATCGGACTTCCCCATCTTCCCGCATTACCCACCAAGTATATCCAGGTCCCTGAGCAAAAGCAATCCCACGAGTGGGTTTGCCTTTACCTGAAGCAGGAATTACCCAGACTGTCTTTCCCAGCAAATTCTTCATATGCACCACGGGAACTTTGTCCCCCTCTACAATATGTAACAGTTCTGACTGGGCTGGGCCAGCCCTGTTGGCAGATCCTCTGGTGTTGACCAACCAGGTGGCCTTTGGTAAGTGTGTATCCCAATGCTTGAAAGTTCCCCCACCCATCGCTCTCAGTGTAGTTTTTAACAGTCCATTGTACCGTTCGATTTTCCCAGAGGCTGGTGCATGGTAGGGGATGTGATATACCCACTCAATGCCATGCTCTTTGGCCCAAATATCTATAAGGTTATTCCGGAAATGAGTCCCATTGTCTGACTCAATTCTCTCTGGGGTGCCGTGTCGCCACAAAATCTGTTTCTCAAGGCCCAGGATGGTGTTCCGGGCAGTGGCATGGGGCACGGCGTATGTTTCCAGCCACCCGGTGGTTGCTTCCACCATGGTAAGCACATGGCGCTTGCCTTGGCGGGTTGGTGGCAGTGTGATATAGTCAATCTGCCAGGCCTCCCCATATTTATACTTCAACCATCGTCCTCCATACCAAAGAGGCTTTAACCGCTTGGCTTGTTTAATTGCAGCACATGTTTCACACTCATGAATAACCTGGGCAATAGTATCCATTGTTAAGTCCACCCCTCGGTCACGGGCCCATCTATATGTTGCATCTCTGCCCTGATGGCCTGAAGTGTCATGGGCCCACCGGGCCAAAAATAATTCACCTTTACGTTGCCAATCTAAGTCCATCTGAGCCACTTCAATCTTAGCCGCTTTATCCACTTGTTGGTTGTTCTGGTGTTCCTCAGTGGCCCGACTCTTGGGTACATGGGCATCTACATGACGTACCTTCACCACCAGGTTCTGCACCCTGGCAGCAATATCTTTCCACAGTGCAGCAGCCCAGATGGGTTTACCTCTGCGTTGCCAGTTGCTCTGCTTCCACTGCTTCAACCACCCCCACAGGGCATTTGCCACCATCCATGAGTCAGTATAGAGATAAAGTACTGGCCACTTTTCTCGTTCAGCAATGTCCAGGGCCAGCTGGATGGCTTTCACCTCGGCAAACTGACTCGATTCACCCTCTCCGTCAGCAGTTTCTGCAACTTGTCGTCCAGGACTCCATACAGCTGCCTTCCATCTCCGATGTTTTCCCACAATACGGCAAGAGCCATCAGTAAACAAGGCATACTGCTTTTCACTTTCTGACAGTTTATTATATGGTGGGGCCTCTTCAGCGCACACCACCTCCTCCTCTGGTGACATTCCGAAATCTTTGCCCTCTGGCCAGTCCATGATGACTTCTAGAATGCCTGGACGACTGGGATTTCCTATTCGAGTTCGTTGTGTAATTAGTGCAGCCCATTTACTCCATGTAGCATCGGTTGCATGATGTGTAGAGGAGACCCTGCCTTTGAACATCCAGCCCAGCACGGGCAGCCGGGGTGCCAGAAGGAGCTGTGCTTCAGTGCCAATCACTTCCGAAGCAGCTCGAACCCCTTCATAGGCTGCCAGTATTTCTTTCTCAGTTGGGGTATAGCTGGCCTCAGATCCTTTATATCCCCGACTCCAAAAGCCGAGGGGTCGACCTCGAGTCTCCCCTGGAGCTTTCTGCCAGAGGCTCCAGGTAGGACCGTTCTCCCCAGCTGCAGTGTACAGTACATTTTTTACATCTGGTCCGGTCCGGACTGGTCCAAGGGCTACTGCATGAACTATCTCGCGTTTAATTTGCTCAAAGGCTTGTTGCTGCTCAGGGCCCCATTTAAAATCATTCTTCTTCCGGGTCACATGATAGAGAGGGCTTACAATCGAACTGTAATTTGGGATGTGCATTCTCCAGAACCCCACTGCACCCAAGAAAGCTTGCGTTTCTTTCTTATTAGTTGGCGGAGACATTGCTGTTATCTTGTTGATCACATCTGTGGGGATCTGTCTACGTCCATCTTGCCATTTTATTCCCAAAAATTGAATCTCCTGTGCAGGTCCCTTGACCTTACTCCGTTTTATGGCAAAACCGGCTTTCAGCAGGATTTGGATTATTTTCCTCCCTTTCTCAAAGACTTCTTCCGCTGTATCGCCCCACACAATAATGTCATCAATGTATTGCAGGTGTTCTGGAGCTTGCCCCTGTTCCAGTGCAGTCTGGATCAGTCCATGGCAGATGGTAGGGCTGTGTTTCCACCCCTGGGGCAGTCGGTTCCAAGTGAACTGGACACCCCTCCAAGTAAAAGCAAACTGTGGCCTGCACTCTGCTGCCAAAGGGATTGAGAAAAATGCATTGGCAATATCAATCGTGGCATACCACTTGGCTGCCTTTGACTCTAGTTCATACTGAAGTTCTAGCATGTCCGGTACGGCAGCACTCAATGGTGGTGTGACTTCATTCAGGCCACGATAGTCTACTGTTAGTCTCCATTCTCCATTAGACTTTCGCACTGGCCATATGGGGCTATTGAAGGGTGAGCGGGTCCTGCTGATCACCCCCTGACTCTCCAGTCTACGGATCAGCTGATGGATGGGAATCAGGGAGTCTCGGTTGGTGCGATATTGCCACCGGTGCACTGTTGTGGTCGCAATTGGCACTTGTTGTTCTTCAACTTTCAGCAACCCCACAGCAGAGGGATCTTCTGAGAGACCAGGCAAGGTGGACAGCTGCTCAATTTCCTCAGTCTCCAAAGCAGCAATACCAAAAGCCCACCGGTACCCTTTTGGGTCTTTGAAGTACCCTCTCTTGAGGTAGTCTATGCCGAGAATGCATGGAGCCTCTGGACCAGTCACAATAGGGTGCTTTTGCCATTCCCTCCCAGTCAGGCTGATTTCAGCCTCCAGCACAGTCAACTCTTGGGATCCTCCTGTTACTCCAGAAATATAGATGGGTTCCACCCCTTGACAGCTTGATGGCATCAGGGTACACTGTGCACCGGTATCTACTAGAGCCTTATACTTCTGTGGGACTGATGTGCCAGGCCATCTGATCCACACAGTCCAGTAAATCCGATTGTCCCCTACCTCCACCTGGCTGGAGGCAGGGCCCCTCTAACAGTCGTCACAGCATTGGACACTTAAGTCATGTTGAAAGGGATTATTCTTCTTTATCACAGGAGCTGGAGTAAAATCAGCTCTTCCACTCCATCTGGGAAACTGATCACCAGAGACTGAAGCCGTAGCTCTCATGGGACGATCAGTCTTGGCCCTTGCTCCCCTCTTCAGTTCACTCACCCGTTCCTCCAAAGCTGAAGTAGGTTTTCCATCCCACTTTGTCATGTCTTCTCCGTGATCCAGCAGGTAAAACCATAGGGTACCCCGTGGCGTATACCTCCTGTATCTCCTCTCTTGAACAATAGGACGCCTTTTGTTAATAGCTGAGACGTGTGTTGGTACACGTGAGGAGCCGGATAAATCAGATAGATTGTCCTTCAATTGTTCGATGTCCTGGGACAGTTTTTTCACAGCTGAGATGATGGAAGGGGTGAGATTGTCTTCGAACTCTCGGAGTTTATGAACCATTTCATCCACTGTTAGTGGTACTATGTCATTCCAGGTTACTGTTGCCAATGAATGGGCATATGATGACGGTGCATTCCGTGTAAGTTTTCGCCACATGGGTCGTGTACATTCAACTTCATCTGGATCTATAGGTGTATCCCCGTTATTCGGCTTGATGTGATAGATCATCTCTACGATGGCCGATTCCCTCAGAGACTGGATGCCTTTGTCTATAGTATTCCACTTGGCCGAACGACTCGTAACATCGTCCTTGTACGGAAACCTTTCTTTCACAGCTGCCAAGAGCCTCCTCCAAAGGCTGAGGGACTTTTTCTCTCTTGCAATTGCTTTGTCAATTCCCCCTTCTCTAGCAAGTGATCCCAGCTGCTTGGCTTCTGTACCTTCTAGTTCGTGACCATCAGCCCCATTGTCCCAGCATCGGAGTAACCAGGTGATGATGTGCTCCCCTGGTTGACGGGTAAAATCTTTTCGCATATTCCGCAGCTCGGTTGAGGTCCGAGGTCGAGAAGTTACCTCTTCTTCTTCTTCTTCGTCATGTGATGATGACTCCTGATCAGATTCTGGACCGGGTGGTGAATTCATTGGTTCTTCATCTCGCTTCACCCTTTTTGCCTCCTTTTTGCTTGTTCTCTTGCGTACAGGGGCAACTGATATTGGTACGAATTGGTCCTCTGGTTTGGCTGCAGTGATTATCACTGTGGTTTGAGTAGCAACTGTACTTGTTACTGGGGGTGGTGTAGCTACTGTGCTTGGAGCTGGGGTAACCGCGCTGTCTGTTGCAGTTGAAGTTTGAGCAGCTGCTGTACTTGCCACTGGGACAGCTGTGCTGTTCATTGCAGCCAAAGTTTGAGTAGCGACTGTTGCTTTGCCCTCAGATCCGCCGACATTCTTTTCCTTTTGAAGGTGCTGGATAGTGTTGAACAAGGCCCTGTAAGCATAGGCCAAGCCCCAGCACGTTGCCATGATTTGTCCATCTCTGGTATGGCCAGAATGACCACACACCTCATTTAAGTGTTTTACTAATTCTTCTGGATTTTGCAGTTGTTCAGTAGTGAAATTCCAAAGTACTGGAGGGGCCCACTGACCTAGATACTTGCCCATACTATCCCACACACCCTGCCACTCATGGCTGTCCAGCCTCAGGGAAAATCTCTCGGTCCTCCTACATCGTCGTTTGACCCCAGACAAGACCCAAACCTGAATCTGCTTAACTCTTGAAATCAGTAGTGGGTAAAACACACTCTGTATGCGTGTTAGCATGGTGATTCCCATCACCATCAGCAAACAAGTCTCAACAGCATTAAAAGGCCATTCAAAAAATTCAAAACTCTCAAATGTAAATGGTCTGGGGGGACGACTAGGAGGGTAAAAGGATGTCTCCTTCCCAGGTTGAGCACCTGAGAAGGAGAAAAAAGATGTGTAATTGCTAAGCACCTCCATCATATACCTCCCAAAGTATAAAGGTGGTGACCACACTGGGAACATAAGCCAGATCAATTTCATGATCAATGATTCTATTGTATTACAAGTCATTACCATAAAGTACAATGGGATAAAAACCTTAGCCCAAGCCCCATACTTGAAAAACACTAATACAGCAAGTACCGGATGGACGTAAGATATCATATACTGAAACTGTGAGATCAAGAGGAACAACCTTGAGAGCCAATAAATCAGCATTGTGACGAGTGACTATCAATCCAGTCAGATCTGTTCTTATCTCAACCCTTCGTGCCCCACGTTGGGCGCCAAAAAGAACTGTCGTGGTTTAAACCCAGTCAGGTAGCTTGTTCACTCACTCCCAGTGAGTGGTGCCGAGCTGACAACAATCGAGGTCCGTGTCCGTCTCCCCCCCTGCCTCCCCGCACCGGGGCTCTCCCCTTCCCCGCTCCCGGAGGAACGGGGAGGAGGATCGAGAGAGTGCAACTCCTACGGGTTGAGACAAAAACAGTCCAGCAACAAATCACCACCGCTACTATCAGCTACAACAATGATAAGGGAAAATAACAAGGGAAGAGAATACGATACCACCGGCCAAGAGAAACGAGCTCCACCCGGAAACCCCTGTCCTTCCGGGTCACTCCCAGTTACCCCTCACCCCGGGCATGACGTGCTGTGGTATGGAATACCTCCCCGGCTAGCCCGGGTCAGGCGCCCCGTCTCTGCTTCCTCACAGCCTCCCCTCCTCCCTGGCAGAGCATGAGCCTCACAGAGTCCTTGGTCAGGGTAAACATCACTTAGCAACAACCGAGAACATCGGCTTCACCAACACTGTTCTCAAACTGGAAGTCAAAACACAGCACTGTACCAGTTAACACAAAGGAAAAACATGACTGCTACTGCGGAACCCAGGACAACATGCTTCTGACCTTGCTCAGCTTCTTCTAGGCAGGTACTAGTGACAATTGGTCCTTGTCAGCCTCAGGCATAGACACAACACCTGCCATGCATCCAGATGCTTCCTTGTGCCTTCGTGGATGTTTCCACCTTCTGCCTGGTGCTGACAGACACAAAAACTGCTCAAATCATGTAGCTACAAAAATATCTCAGGAAGCAAAACAGGCTCTCAAGTACCATGTCCACATTTTGTGAATAGTGACCTACATGAAGAGAAATATTGGGTACAAAAGAAAAGCCATGTTTCTTCTCCCATTTTCAGTGTAATATTTTTCTTCAATATCTTCTTTTCATCAGCTACAACTTACTAGCAGCTAGCAACTGGAAAGAGCATGCTTTTAACTTTGCAGACATAGAGGCCTGTCAAAATGAGAAGAGCCACGGTATCACTTGAGAAACTCAGAACTGAAAGGACATGAAAAACACGAGTAATGTTTTTGAGTCACAGAGGTACTGCATGGGGCCCGTGGCTTCTGAGTGTCCATCCTCAAAAGAAACTGGAACCAAAACACTCCATTTTAAGATTCATTCTTATCCTCTTTTGCTGTGATTTACTTAGGTTGAAATTTCACCACAGCAATGCCCACAATGAAATGAGTAACTTTTCAAATAACCACTTGCTAAAAAGCAGCACAAGCCTGCCCACAGCTGATACCTCAGCCTCATTCTCAAGTTGGAAAATTTCCAACATCTGCCTCCATGCCTTTGACATGAACAAAACTGGACCATGGCAGGGAGGGGAGAGAAAGAACATGTCCCATGTTCTTTCATGGAACTTGGGACAAAGAGCCTCAGGGACTCCTCCTCAGCCCCTCTAGGAAGTATATTCTAGCTTTGCAGTAATACAGCTCTGGGAATAAGATGCTTTTCTAAATAAAATATCCATAGCTATTTGTGGATAAATGTTAATAAAAATCTTGCAGAAATGACTGAGAATCTTAGGTTTCAGTTTCTGGTCACATAAACTATTTCAGCCTTATTTCTCAAAATCTGACAGTTTCAAAAGAAATTGGTATTAAAGTGAATTGCTAATGTGGAAAATAGCCCGTGATGCAAAGAAATTAAACATTTCATGAAAGAACATGTGGAAATCAAAATAAATGGTGGGAGGAAAGTCTTCATTGCCAGACATGAGAAATTTTCCCTCCCTAGCCAGCAGTGTGAGCAGCCACCTGGCAAGAGCCACCACAAACAGGATTCTGGGGAGTATTCCCTGCACCCATGTGGCTATGCTAACATAACCCATGGGGGATTATCCTGGTCAGTTAGCATGCCATGAGGAAAGGACATCAACCTCCAGCTGCCAGGAGTAAACCCTATTTGCAGCTTTCCAAAAGGAGTAAAAATTCACATGCGGAGTCAGAATGATCCCCCCCAGGGTATTTCAGTAGCTTGTGCTTATTGCAGTTCTGGGGAGCACCATAAAAACATGGCCTCAAGATCAGGAAGATGCAAAAGGAGAATGGCTGGGACAAGGGTTTGCACAACTCAGCAACAAAAAGCCGATGATGCAGTATGTCTACTGTAACCAGAAGGGCAGTAAAGCAAGACACAGGGCACCATTCTGCCTCCGTGCAAATCCTTACCGAGCTCTCATCTCAAGCACCATTTGCAGTCCCACTCTCCACATCTCAGGAAGGAAATAGCAGAGAGAAGGAAGGAACACAGAAGGGCAATTAGAATGATGAAAGGGAGAGATCAGCTGCTTTGCAAGGAGAACTAAAAAATGCTGAGGGGGCATATAAGCAAAGCTTACAAAATCATGAAGGCGAGGAAAAGGCAACTGCACAACTTACCCACTAAATCCTTCAAATACCAGAACTATAGATCACCCACTGAAAATAGCAGGGGATCAGTTTAGACCATGTAAACTGCTTTTTTTTTTTCCATGGGTTGTAGTGAACTTGTGGAATCTGTTGCCATAGGAAGCCATGGAGGCAAAAGGTTTGAGCAGGTATTGTACCAGTTCGTGGACAACAGGTCCATAAGCAGATACTGAAGGAACAGACCAGACTTTCCCCTCCAACATCTCTGAAACAATGAATGTGGCTATTAGAGGAGCACAAGAGGCATGGATGGCAGAAAGCAGCTAAATTTGTGTGCTCTGCCTACCCAGCATTTCCAATTGTCACCATCAGGGACTAGTTTGACTACACAGGCCATTTCTTGCATTCTTGGAAACCCAGTGAGATGAAGCCTGATGGAAATATCATGGACAACTGATTCCCACACAGCATCCAATAAACAGGCAAAGCCTTTGCTGGTGCAGAACTCGAGGGACCAAGATGTTCATAACTGGTGAAAGAGGAACAACCTCCTTACAGACAACTTCAAGGACTCTGTGAAGAAAGTCACAGAGGGGCACAAGCTCAGCAAAAAGCAGGATTAGGGAGATAATTATGTATTTGACTTGTGAAGGGTACTGAAGGCTGGGGATGGCTCTAAAACATGAGTCTTTGAGACTCAATGTGATACTTTGAAACAGGATAAAGCAGGCTGCATAGTGGCACAGTCAGAAAATTGGTACAAATTTCAATTTTCTCTTAATTGGTTCAAATAAAAAGAACAAAGTAAACACATAAATTAATAAAATAGAGTTACAGCTTTCCCCTGTGCACTTGGCTCCTCCTGTAGTCTTAGGTCTTTCCAGGTATAATCCCAACACTGCCACAATGCTTACCACACTAACCTTGCTTACAGACCAGTGTCCAGTAATTTATACAATATGATAACAGCACTTGTATTCAGGCTTGGATTGCATAACACTGCTTTTGGTGTTTTTAGTACTCAAGAAAATACTGTGTCAGGGCAGAAAGGAAATCCACAAATAGATGCTTGTGGCTTTCTTAAACTTAACAGTTTTTGAAATTATTACATAAGGCAAGTTAATCTGTAAAAGAAGAAAAGCAGACTAAACTGACATCCAGAGTTGCCTGCTCTGCTCAAAAGAAATCAGTGATGAAATGTATGCTAACCCCACTGTGAAATATATTGTAGCAACATCACCCAAAATATACTATCTGCCATTGCCCCCTCCTCTCTTCAATTTGCTGCATCAGTTTCTCTTTGACCTCTTTTGCACAAGCAAGTGGCTGATGTGATCTTTCAACCAAGTCTACTCTTTTTAGGCTTTCAGCAAAGGCTTAATTTAAACACAAGGTGAACCTTACATTCTTAGTCCTATGCCATGCAACTGTTCTTCCATGAGTCCTTTCATCATCCAGCAGTGTTTGGTTTGGCTTTATTTTTCGCTAATTTCAAATTCTTCCTCTTATTCTTTGAGTGGTTGTTTCTCCTTTTTCAGCCTTGGTAGCCATAGGTCCCAGGCCTGTCAACCCAAATAACTAGGCTGGCTGTACCACTATAAAAACTACTTTGACTTTTCCTTTCCATCTGATCATAGCCCTCTCCCAGCTACATTTCTCCCTGACTGAACCACAGGCTATGACTAGAAGCTACTTTTAGTATTCCAAGCCTGGTGCTCATTTGCCTCAGCAGTAATAAGCTTAGCCTAATGCAACCATATTTGCAAGTTTATAAGATGCTCTGATGATGCTCCTTTGTGCCCAGAGACTTGCCTGGCTTTTTAACTGAATTTAGAGTCACAGAGAGATGTTTATACACATAGCAATATATTATAAATAAATTTTATATTGAACTGAATCTCTATTTTACTCTCTGGTAATGTTTCTCAAACACTAACTTTTATAAATGTCATAAAACACACAACATAAAAGGCAATAAAGATAAGGACAAAGGAAAGTTAATCTCTCAAATAAAATGTTAAGAAACAGAATCCAGATCCTTAATCCAATCTCATTATTTATTTCAAACTGCCCAGGAAGCCCACCCAAATTACCTATGTTATTTATTGTTACTGAAGTTGTTTTCTGTTGTTGCTATGGTGGTCACATCTGCAAACCCAGCTTTGGGGTGAATGTTAATAACCAGTCCTGAAAGAAAGTGTGCTTAGTCACTATCAGAGCTACTTGGAACTGTGGAGATTAAACATGATATCTCCTAAAGAAGTATGGGGATTTTTTTTTTTTCCTTTAAATTCAGTGTCAGAAGGAAAGGTTAATTCTACAGCTGACTTCTCTGAACAGAACATTAGGAAAATTTCATAGTACACAAACCAAGAGGTGGACCCAAGCCCTGACAGAGTGATACTTAGTGTAACAAATGGTCTGGTTCTCAGTAATATGAAGCCCCATGTGCTTTCCAAGTATATTTTGTTTGCTATGAGCCCAACACAGTAAGTGCTTCATCTTCCCCAAGGTTTCTTGGTACTAACATCCTGTCTACTCAGCCCTTTTATATTTACACAGTACTATTTTTCAGATGTTAGGAACTGGCTTTGAGAAAGCCTTAGGGCTTTATTTTAAATCACATAGCTTTTGAAAGTAACAGACGTGAACCAGGAGTTTAATGCTGCAGAAATGGCCGTGTAGAAAAGCAAGCTGTTTTTAAAGAGCTAGCTTGCTCGTGAGGAATGATCAGCTTCTCAGAAGTTAAAATGCCAGACTAGAGAAACATGAGAAACAGAATCTTTCATTGCCTACTTTTTAATGCACAGTCATAGCCTCAGCTAGTTTAAATGCACAGGAATTGTGTGCAGCATAAATCTTTTCCCTCTCACTCCAGAACAGATTAGCACATAGGGAAAAAAAAAAAAAAATTTCTAATCAAGGCTGCAAGATGATTCAAAGTCAGGTTTCACAATTTTGGTGCACCAACTGATGTGGCAACATTTAGCATAAGACAGTTCTTAGATTTTCACTTGCTGTTATTTAATAGATTTTCCTCTGCCACTGACAGGTGTTTTAGATTGCTTTAATTTTAAACCTCCAAAGGATGTTATTAAGAAATAAGACATTAGAAATAGCAAAGAAAAGAGATGAAAAAGCTGTGGTACACACTAACGGAGCTAGGTCTAAAGCCAGGTCTATGCTACATATTTAGGTCTAAGGTCTATGCTACACGTTAATGGAGATAGGTCTAAGGTCACACCTTATTTTTGTCCATTTGTGCCTCTCAGTGCAATAGTTTAGGAACACTGAAAGCAGCACAGCAACTCAACAGCTGAAAGAATAGGGAATATGAAATGCAGGTCATGGTAGGATAACTCACCTGTTTTGTTTTTTTTCTTACCTTCATAACTACTCCAGCCATTTTTCTACCAGTTCTCCATCTACTAAAGAACAGATGCAATTCACCAAGAGAATAAGAGCTGTATGTTGCCTGTTACAATGGAAGAAAAGACCACAGGAGAGATGCTTGCATGGCTGTAAATCACAGGGTTTTGAAGTGAACTGTACAAGCCCTATCAAAACATATGCTCAAAACCGTCTGCGTAGAAAAGGAAACAGAAGGAAGAGAAGAAGGAAAGAACTAAAACCTAAATTTCAGTGGTCTCAGTTACAGTTTTTGTTTATTATTTCCTCTTGTATGTCCAGTAAAAAATATTTTGTAATAGTAGATCAGAATGCTAAAAATGAAGTTCTGTCTACAATAAGTAGGTGACAATATGAATACTGAATAGTTGATTAGATTGTTCAAAATAACTTGTGCATCAGCAAAAGCAATTGTGTGTGATTAATCTAAGTCTGAGGAATAACAACTGCCATATTCTGAGCTCTAGAAGTATGATTCATTTAGCAGATTTACAGTCTATAGATAACACCTGAACCTAACAACAACCAAAAAAATCAACGTGACTATTAATGATGTGAATTTGACCTGGCAAGAATAGTCTCTTCAATGCTATGTAGATACTATTAGTTAAATTGTGCAATCAAAAAAAATTACCTGAAAAAGATACTGTATTTCAGAATATGTTGTGTTAATGCATTGTAAACACCTTGCTGTTTCCTGTCCAACAAGTCCTGTGCAAGAGTACAGGCTTCACTATCTGAGATCTTGCATGGCATATAACCAAAAATACACCAGTAACTATACTTTGAAGATCCCTGAACCAGACTGTAAATTAGTAGCAAAACACCTCAAAGGGAAAAGTAGAGCTTTCCTTTTAACACTTAACCCATCATTCTACAGATGACACACATAATGTGTCTGTAAATACTGGAATCTTTCGTAACAAAAGGTTGATCCTTTAATTTATTTCCATTCACTCAATCAAAAGTCATATCTGAGAAGAGATTCACCAGAAACATTTCAAGTGGCAGTAGTCAGAAAGTCTGAACTTCCAAGAAGACAGAAAAAGTCCTGGACAAATGCAAATAAGAGCAAGTGAAGCACATACCCAAATTTAGGAATCTTCTAATTATATCTACTTGGAAGTGGATGTATTTACAATGGTCAGCATTCAATCACAATTCAAACAGAAAGGCTATAAAAATACTTAAAATGGTGAGAGCTTCAGATTCAACACACACAGAAAGTCAATATCTGAGATATATGGTTCCAATTCTGTGATTGTTGACTCAGATAAGACTATTGTGAGCCAAATGACATCTTACAAAAATGATGTCCAAGTCAGTTCAGAAATATCTCAGTTCACTCACCCAAACTGAATCCTATCTTCTATGCAAATAGTGCAATTAGTAATGATGAGGATGCTTTCATCAGCTCATTGCTAAGGCAATATACTTTCTGTGTTCTGCATCACATTAAAATCTGCCATTTAACCCTCACAGGACAAACAAGGCTTGCCTGATAAGTAATTTCACAACTATCAAAAGACAAATTGACTTCAAGAACCACAGATTAAAAGTTATCACCTGGAATTTTCTTAGTTTTGTGTTGGTACAAATAGCATAGATGTGTTCCAGGACTTGACCTGTCCACTTCTGATTGAATGAGACTAAAGAGCTTCTTTAACAAACTGAGGGCTTCTTTAGATCAATGGGAAAGTAGGGAGGAAGCTAAGGATATATCCTGCAATGCCAGTACAGACAGGCTGCAGAATTAGTGTTATTTTAACCCTCCCAACACCAAAACACCCCACATGCAACTTGAAAGCATGTCTGGGTAAGACTCCCCAGCTGTCTGGGTTCAGTGGGGTTCCACCTGTTCTGCAGTATAATTCATGCCAATTCTTGCAACAAGTGAATTTGCAACAGCTCAGAAGGATTTTTGTTTCAGTTTTGCTTTTTCTTTTTTAAGCAAATGTCAGAAAATACAGAACTATTAGGTAGATGCAGTACTTCTTCAGCAGATAGATAACA